AGTGACAGATTGCGTTCCAGGTTTTAAATGGTAAAGGTGCTAGTGATATTACAGGCACATGGCACTTGTGCACACCTTATGTCTTAGGACGACAGGCGCAGTGGCAGTACCCCTCAGATCTTTGCGATTTAATGTTCTGAGTGTCGCTTACCACCAGGCGCACAGCTTGTTCATCCCGTCATTGGATATCGTAAAAAAATATTACTATATTAGGAATACCACACCGAAATCACATCAATATAGAAAGTACCTAAGTAAAAATCTTTTTAAATATTTCGCTTCGCCTTGACCTCTGTCGTGCTCACATGATTTTAGATCACATGCGAAACACAGAAGTTTGTGTTCAGATTATGGCACTGCAAATGCAATGGAAAGTCGTATCCCTTAACACCAGACGTGTGACTCCTGCCTTAAAAAAAGGGTCACAAAGTGTCACATTGAGTTTATTAATAGTATTTTTTATACCTTGTAACGGTGCGAACAAGACGCACGCCAATTCAGTGCAAATTCAGTGCCACTTAGAGTTTTAAATCACCAAGATATATGGGACACTGCCACTGCACCGGTAACCCTGAGACAAAAATAGTATAAACTATTAGTACCTTAGACTTATTTTTTCCATCCTGTTAGATTAGTACTTTCTAGTAACATAACATTATAGGCACATGACACTTCTCAACTTAAGTTGTAATAAAGTAATAAATAAGCACGAACTTATTTCGTACTTTATTCTAACTTCATAAGATTCATATCGAGTTCTTAGGTTTTCGCGATTGTTACACATAGGAAATGAAACTATGTTTCTGGATTTAAATCGCGTATATTTGTTTTTTCAACCGTGACGGGTAAACGGCCCGAAACGTCGGTTTGTTTGAAAAAACAAATATATGCGATTTAAATCCGGAAAAACAGTTTCATTTCCTATTCATAAGATTCAACTTAGGATAATTTGAATATATTATGTTATTCAACTTTAGTACATTTATTATACTGCCGTTCTTGTCTTGTGCAACGCATTTGCATTTTGGTTATTTTCGATATATTGGTACCTAAACTGCCCTCGGACCGAAAAAAGGCACAACTGCTATGTAGAGTACGCACAGTTGTGCCATTTTTCGTTACGAGGGCAGAGTAGATATCGTTTTCTTTCAAAAATGTCAATTACGCTGATTAAAACACGAGCTGAGGTTTATGCAACGAGCCGACAGGCGAGTTTCATAAAAACATCTCACGAGTGTTTTAAAGTCTAATTATGTACATACACTGCTTTATCTACACACATATTATAAGCTCTATGTGATGTGTTCAGGAACTGCACTTTACGACTGGCAAAATGGCGGCAAATAAAAACTTTTCTCACGCGTATCACACAACCGTAATTTTTATTTTTATTTCATAGACAAACTAGAATCGGCCCCAACTAATGATAGTTCATCATTCGATATCAAGTAACGTATGAAATTGTCGAAATGGTTTGCTATTGACATTTCATTTCGAATAAAACTTCATTTCGACCATAAAGTCAATGATTTCGACTGATATTAGAATTGAGGTCAAATCAAATTGTTTTGTTTTTCAGAGATGTTGAAAATTTGAATGCAATAATAGCTTAGACTATGATTTTTTTCCCATCCTCTAAGAGTAATAACATCGAATTCGATGTTATTATGAAGCGTAGAGGGAGAATAAAAAAAAGAATAGAGAAGCTTCTCGCGTATACTGAAAAGGGACACCAACAGAGTACCTATAAATTCAGGGTTGTATACTTTTAAAATTTTACCCCGTTAAAGAAATTGAAATGAAAATGAAGACGTGGTAGCCTAATGGTTTGACCTACTGCCTCTCAAGCAGAGGGTCGTGGGTTCGAATCCAGACTCGCACCTCTGTGTTTCTCGGAATTTGTGCGAAATTTAATTTGAAATTTATCATGAGCTTTTCGGTGAAGGAAAACAACGTGATGAAACGTTGAAGAAGGTTCAAAGTCCTCGGAAAACGTGTGCAGTCCCCAACCGTCATTGGGCCAGTGTGGTGGACTGTCGCCTAAGCACTCGCCTGAGAGGGGACCTGTTCCCAGCAGTGGGGCGTATAAATGGGTTCATGATAATGATAAATTCTGCCGAGTCTAAGGAGGGAGAATCCACCAGACTACATTTAGCTTGGTTGAGTTTTAGTAACCAAATAAAACAATTATGACAAATCATTACTTTTTTATTGGACCTTGAACAGTATTAACTTAGTATATTTCGAACTGAAAAAGTATTGAAAAGTAAAAAAATACAATATTTAAAATGACCCATAAATTGGGGAAAAGATAGCGGCAAAAGCACGGTATCCCTAAAATCAGCTTAAGCCTGTCTAATTTAATTTATACGTAATTTATTTGATCTGTCTTTCTCGCGTTTTATAACCACTGCTGGTAGAAGCGAGATGGATATATTTGACAAAAGTAAGATATTCTCCTTATTTTAGGAGGTTTATACGATGCAAACAAAAATCTTTCAATCAAGAAAAACACTTCAAATATCATCTAAAATACATGACATCGTAATATTCCAGGCTTGTAAGAGTATTTCACTAGTAATTTATACAAGAAAATTCATTGATTGTAACGAAAAATTAAAACTTACGTGTGAAAAGTTATGGCGGGAATTTTTCGTTCCGTACGGCTTTTACAAACTAAAATAGGTATAACAATACACCATTATTGTGAGCTGCAATAATTGTCAATTACTACAAAGGAACGGTTAGTAACTTTGTAAAACACTTCGTAAAAATACAAACACATAAAATCGATGCACATCAAACACTCGGAAAGATTTACTGGACTCTACGGGTCGTATTCTAAAACTCTACTCAATGCTCAAGTCAGGATTTGAGCATGGTTTTAAGCACTCGAAATCATACTCAAGTTCCTGCCATTAGAGTCGTGTTTCCAGTGCTTGTGTTTCCAGTGCAATCCTGACTTGAGCATTGAGTAGAGTTCTAGAATACGACCCTACGAGTGTTGAGTCATACAACCAAAACCGCATACTTAGAATGGGACAAAAAATAATATTATTTTCTCGTTTACTCTGATATGTCTGTGCATAAATCTATCTCGCCTATACGGTTTTTATTATTTATAAAGCCCCTCTACCCAATTCTCCCTCTACGGAAGCAATAATAACATTTTCACAGATAAGAAATTTGTTCTAACAAAACCGTTTACCTGCTGGTCGTAATTTGGTGTTTTTGAACACATTATAGAGAGTTTATGATATATGTGTAGATAAAAGATATTAAAAAACCGATTAGAGGGGGTTCAATATCACTGATTGCGATACCTTAATAACCCAATTTCTTTTAATTAAATTATATTAGATTAATACGTTGTTTATGATAAGGTCGGCAGTGTAAATATTAAAATAAATTTGCATTTATTTTTTACTTGGGCAATATATCACTGCGTAAGGACATGACGGATGATATTTCGCTCATAAATTATCTGTTGATACTATAAAATTTCGCTGATATGCAAATGGTGCGTCTTTTTTACCTTGTGTACAGACGTTATTAAGGACTAAAAATTATTTTGTCATTTCAATTTCAGCTTAATCCATAACCATTCATTGTTTGTGCATCTGTCTAACGAAAGCATAGAAATTACTCGATATTTAATTTTATAAATAAATAGTTACACACTGTTGTAGCATTTCAAAAATTTTTTACTCGTTCATCACGGCCTAATATTTCGCACCCCTCATGGAAGAATGGTATAAGTGAAGTGACGTCAAAAATGTTTATTGCCCCATTATGTACAGAAAATATAACCCACATCCTCTCCAATCGTTGTAACACTATCGACTAATATTGTCGATAATACTATTCTTATAGCACTTTCGACAATATTAGTCAGTAATACTGTTCTTGTAACACTATCGACAATATTAGTCGATCGACTAATATTATCATACAATTGGAGAGGATATGGCTTATATTTTTCTGCATGTAACTTCACTTATGCCATTCTTCCACGAGGGGTGCGATTTAAGTAATTTTCTATTGAAAATTAGACAACGAGAACTGTTCATAATTACTACGGTAATCTTACAACAACGCACAAAATATCATAAGCACAGCCTCCATTTTAAAAATTAGCAATTATTCTGTATAAGACAAATATTCATGAAACATTTTTATTACATTGCTTACTAGGTAATCTTACTGAACAGCTTACACAGTTGAAAGTACATTAAAGTTTCTTGTTTTTAAAAGCAGAAATCACTACAAATTACAAACCACATTTTAAATTTAAGTTTTAAAAATCTCTTACGGAGAACACAGTAATAAATAGAGCTTTCCGCGTTCCGGAAAAATAATAAGACCTGGCGCTGAATCCTAAATCCCGGGAAAAACAAAACTTGCGAGACTACTTAAAAATATGTTTCTATACTTATACGGCGATAAAGTAAAACAAATTTAATCAAGTTCTTTATTAACTCAAATTAAAATATCAAAAACTATTTATAAAAGATTTCTCATTGTTACAGTGGGCACGTAAGAAACAATGAACGTTTAATGCAATTAGATTGAGACTGAGTGTGAACTGAGAGAACCTAATTTCATCAATATCTCCACAGATTACATTAAGCTCCACTCGACAGTGTTGCCATGTCCATACAAAACAAAATGAAAAAACGACTTTTGGCTTAGTATATTTTCTCGTCGTTCAATTAATTGACTTAATAAGTGTCAAAGTGATATTTCCGAGGCTGAAAAATTCTATCTCGAGTTTCGAAAATAACAAAAATAGCCTTGACAAAACTTTTCGAGATTGGGATTTTAGGTATGAAAGCCCTACTAATAAGCACTTTTTCTAAGTATACGTAACAAATTAAATAAACATCAATATGTGCGTTACAAACGAATAAAATTGTAAATTAATTCTACTTTTATATAAATAAATTCAAATATACTTGTTACTTCTAAACCTACTAACAAATTGCATTATTGTTACACCAATCTGAAGAACACAATGATATGAACAAGTATTGCCTTAGTGGTTCATGTGCATCATATACATATGCTGCACTGTTGTACACGCGTTATTGTCAACCGTGTTCCGTCAGGAACTCTTTAGAATTTTATATTATTTTAAAAGTAAGTAATAATTTAATGTAAATGAGTGGAATTGGTATCATCTCGTTTTTCCATTAAACCTATGTACTACGCACTTGTGAATTGTGTATTAATTATTTAAGAAGTAATGGAAGAATAGTGAATGCTGAGGTCTGTCACACATCCAACATTATCACCTGCCAGATTTCAAACTCTATTTAAACATTAAGGAATGTCCATAATTCCTTAAACAATGGCCATGTCTCAATCTTGACTAGATTTCTTATACATATTTATACAGCAATCCCTATAAAAAACTGCAAAATGAACATCATTTTTTGTACATTATTTTAAACACAATATGTGTTAGAACACAAAAAATACTTATAAATCTAACGACAAGATCGCTAACATATGCGCATATTAAGTATTCACTTCTCCGTCGACAAATACAGAACGGTTAGAATCGCATAAATGCCGATTCATGTTACCTACACCGTGCCGAAACACGGTCAAATATCTGTATTATGTCCGTGTCCCGGCCGGAACACGAGACACGAACGCGGCCCGATCTAACATGAATTACTTCATACAAAAGCATAATATAGATATATGACCATGCTATGCCTTGCGCACGACCGGGTCACGCCCCGGCCGCAGCACGGTGTAACATGGATCAGCGTTTAAAGTGAATTTACATATGTTCGGCATACATTAGTGTAATCCCTGTCGTTAATTTATGCAGAAAGAAATGCAGTTCAGTCATCATTATCCAAACCAATGAGTTCGGCCTGCAGACGTGCCTTGGTGCGACAGCACGCTGTGAAACATAAAATCCTAAGGGCAAGCCGGAACTGAGGACTTAGCGAGACCAAAATAATAATCTTCCAAAATGAATTCAATATGCCAACCCAGACGATGCCAAAGTGCAACATAGGAATTTTTAGTTCCTCGCCCTTGATGTATTCGTACAATCTAACTCCAGCGTAAGGAGCCCAGCTTAGCCAGAAAGCAGACACTAAGACGAAACTCATCCAATGGCTGGGGTTGGATAGATTCTCAGCTAGAGCAGTCGCGTATTCTTTGTCGTGAATTGGCACACCACTGTTCAACTTCCGTTTCATACAAAATATATAAGTATAATTATATACGATAGATATAACGCTAGGGCCTAGGACGAGCATACTTAGAGTGGCTGTGTAAGCGTAAGTAGTGCCCCAGTCAAGCATGCAGATAAAGGTCTCCTTGTCGAAGTTCGCTTCCTTTTTGTAACCGAGCAATGGTGGACAGCATAGCATAGCAGCAGAGATCCAAGTGAATACCATCCAACATTGGCTGCGAGTACGGGTTTGCACCTGTGTAAACGCACAATGGTAAATCATACAGATTTTTTCTGAATATTGTGAAACAAATTTAAAAAATCACAGTAACGTCCATTTTTATAGAAGAAAATTGATAAAAACCGACCTCAAAAGTTCGTGGAATTACATCTATGTGCTACTTAAGTTTTATTGAAATCGGTTACGGGTAACTGAGCGAAACTAGATTCATTCCTTACTTTGTCACCCTTAGAGGTGAAATATTTCTAGGAGACCAATTCTAAGGTAACCTCTTTCCAACAAAAAAGAATCATCAAAACCAGTTCACAAATTTACAGTTAGGCTCAACTAACACAGGCGCAGAGTCGAAGCATCGCGTCGCGTCAGGTTTTTCAACAGCAACGCGTGACGACGCGCGTCGTCGCGCGACGACGCTCACATTAGCGCGCCAGGATCACAGTGCTGAACCAGTTCAGAGACTTTTGAACATTCACTGCGCGCAAGTAACGCACGGCACCGCGCGAAACCGCTCGACGTTAGCCAAGTGTCGACGCGCGAAGGCGCGGGTTTCCACATTTGCAAACACAGAAATTTGTACCTTAATAACGGGGAAACAGAAATGAATATGTTATAGTATTATAGGTGAAAAACATAATGCGTCGCGACGCTTCAACTCTGCGCCAGTGTGAGTTCAGCCTTATTCACAGTTATCGCGTAACACCTTAAAAGTTGGAAATAAAATAAAAGAACGTAACATACACACAAAAAATACAATCGAATTGAAAATCTCAGCTTTTTTTGAAGTCACTTAAAAAACAGATGTAAATCACACGCGTTCACAAAAAGCACTGCTATACCTACTGAGGTATTAAATAAAGTTCTGAACACGAAAGCGAGCACTAGCTACAGAACAACCTGAAAACGTATGTTAAATTTGTGTACCTAATTATTGAAAAATTGCACAAAACTGAGATAGCTGAAGAAAAAAGATATCTACCGTTAAACTAACCGTCTCATATCGGAGAGGTTTCCTAACTGCGAGGTAGCGGTCAACGGAGATCCACATGAAGGTGTATACGGAGATAGACCAGAGGGTGACCTCCAGGTAACCGACCAGCCGACACATCAGGTCACCAAACATCCATTGGCCGGTGATAGCCGGATACACTGACAGCGGGACCACGAACAACCCACAGAGGAGATCCGCCACCGCGAGCGACAGTAAGTAATAATTGATGACTTCGTTTGATAGTCCTGTAACATCAACATACCCATTATTATTTTAGACTACATAAAGTTACCACTTGCTCGTATTATACTTAATAATAATAACGCACATACTCATAGCCCTGCACTAGGGAAACCCTGAGTCGCGGGTACCATAGACGCACACATAGAACACCACAAATTACACCCAAACTCACGAGAGAAACAAATGTAGGCCATACAAATATTACTCCTGACCCGGGAATCGAACCCGGAACCTCTGTGTAGCAGACCAAGATGGTAACCGTTCGGCCACTGAGGTAGTTACCCACTTAATAAAAGACTTGCCAAAAGCAAATTTATGTTTGGTACTTTGTAAGGCAGTCATAAGTATCATTATATGATTTTTGCGCGACAGTACACTTCTATAAGACTGGAAGTAAACACCACGAATAGCTACGCAGTCACCACCTCATAGCAACCATAGCTGACCTTAGAACAAACACCGTAACAACCAGCACACGCGTGTTTAACCTTTCCGTCGCCCTCACTCCGTAGCGTGACCTGCAGCACTGCGGGGGGATCAGCGCGGAGGAAACCTCACTTGTGCATTAATCGCTTTGGGAACGGATTAAAGTATCTAGTTACTTGTTTGTACATTAAACAACAAAGCCATAAAATTATTGACCTCAGCAAATTTTAAAGTTTGATCGATTCACAAACAAATCCAATTTTTTTTAAACCAAGAACCACAATGTAACTCAAAGTTCGCCAATATGAATGGCATCTCAGGAACGCAATTTCCATGGAAAGTTTCATGAGGTGCAAAAGAAACAGAAACATGATTATCGATCGTATAACATTACCTACTTGTGACGATGCGACCTCTTTCATAGTCATCCCGCCTTTTTATTACCCTTTTCTCTGGTTCCTGGTCACCTACTTTGAAATTAAGAATCGTTCTTAAATTTCTTTTTCTTCTTCATCACTTACTTTTCTTCTTTCCATCGCGACTCTCTACTAAACTTCCGAAGCAAGCACACGTGCTCTGCTTAACATGGAATTCTGCTAAGTGCTTGTAAAGTATTTTATTTGTAGTACCTTTGAAAATCATCTAACCGAACTGCTTATAAAGCATAGTATTTATAGATATTACTAGTATATAATTTAAGTAGGGAGTGTTTTATACCATTGTACCCGTTTTTATATCGTTGTTACATTCTTTACGTCTTTACTTTACCGTTCTTTTCCCTTAGCTACAATAAAATTCATTTGGACAGCACCTTCTATTTAAATACGCGAGACCCGCGTGATATACTTTTATAAGGAGTTTAGCTTTTTAGGTCTTATACAAAAGAGCTTTTACAATCGCCGTACTATATAAAAAACCGATACGATTAATTCTCATGAACTAAACTTTCTCGGACAAATATAAGTAAAGTAAGTCAAAGTAAAGCCGTAAGTATCGACATAGCTGATGCAACTAGGTTAAACAAAAACAATGAGAAAAGCCTATCTAATTATATGTACAAAAAAAAACAACGAGTAGCTACCACAAACCTTTGAAATTAAGGAAAGCAGCAATGATGAGGAGATTGGAGACGACAATGGCAACGCCCATGACGGCGATAACCGCGGCTTGCGTCAGCGTTTCGAAGGTGGCCAGAGGACTGTCAGCGACAGCCACTTCCCCTGAAAGACCCGACGCGCCGCGCCCAGCAATCATGCTCGCTGGCATGTCTGCGAATGACAGGTTCATAAAAGCCAACTTGCATAGTGCGAATTGAATAATAAAAACATTCTTCATGAAAATGACATAACAATTTTACACAAATGCTACGTAACGGAAATTCGTCGATAACTCAGAGAAGAGCAATGGCTACTTTTTAATTAAATAATGTACCTAGTACTTACAAAGTCACAAAAAGACATTTATTACAGCAAAATGTTCCCAGGACTGCATTTAGACAATTCTTAGAAATTTTACAGAGAACCATGTAAATGGAGAGTACTCAATTTCTTAAGGATGTCAAGTGACGAGACGAACAATAAGTCATGTCCGGTGGTAAGCGGCACGTCTGTCCATGACAGTTGCAGTGCCACTCAGAGCAATAACAGAGCTCTGAGGGGCACTACCACAGCGCCCGTTCACCCTAAGACATGAGTTGCCATGTGCCTGTAATTTCACCAGCTTCTCTAACTTCATACAACAAAGTACGCCACCACCTACTACCTATTTCTGCTGCCAAGCATTAATATGAGCATTACTGCGTTCCAGTTTTGAAGGGTAAGTAAGCTGGTGAAATCACAGGCACTTGGAACTTGTCAACTTATATGTCTCAGTGGGGCAGGCGCAGTGACACCACCACTTGTGAAACAGCCCTTACATCTTTGCGATTGATAGCTCTGAGCGACACTGCAACTGCTATTGACAGGAGTGTCGCATAACACCAGTCGCACGACTTATTCGTCTGGTACCATAAAAAAAAAAGATTAGAGTGAATACTGACGAGAAAATAAATTTATTGATGTAATGTAGATTCTGATAGACATTGGTTGGTCAGTTTCTCAGCCGGAATGGCGTAATAACAACATGATATAGAATCTATAAGTAAAAGAAAACGAATACCCTGATTTTATTGAATATTATGGTGTTGGGTCCCTACAGATTTGACGAATGCTTCTGATTGTGAAAGACTCGCGAGCTGCATTACCCAGTGCGTCTGTTCGCGTGCCGTTCGCGAGCCTGTCTTGCTTGCCTTGCGGGAAATGTAACACACAGGGCACAAATGCAGCGCATTCGCCAGATTTGTACGCACCCTTACTGCCAAGATATTCATTTCTTTTTGTGAATTTTTTACTTGGCATACAGACGCTGGTTCAAATGCTGTCAGATCGAAGGAATTTTTCCTTGTGTTTGTTCTTTGTATTAATAATTAAAACAAATACTTATTCATTACATAGCAATTTGTATTTTGGTATGAAAATCTACAGATGTCCTGACAAAGGAGGTCACTCACCATTAACGATGTGGGAAAACCAACAAGGAGGTATTTACCGGGCCATTATAGGTGAACAGCCAAAATTATGATCTGAACAAAAACAGAGACACAATAAATATATCATTCATTAAAAAAATTAGTGCAACATGTATTGCAGTTAGTGCATGTGATGTTCACTATTTTTTAATATGGACTGGACATTATGACATCGTACAACACTCTTCCTTCTATAATTGAAATCCAAATTAAATTTATCGTTAATATCGGAAAATAATAAACACCAACCACTGTAACCGCAATTTATTAGTTATGAAGGTCTACGTATTTACCGATAGGATAAATGCTAGGTATTTGTATTAGAATAGAATTCATTTTCAACAATCACATGGTCACTACATTATACACCAACTTTAGTTACTAGTGCCACGGTAAAGTTATATATACTACACTAAAGAAATTTTTGTTCACTCAGTGCTGACAATATAGCAAGCGTTGTCAGGTCATAACTAAAATAAATCTGCGTCGAAAGCAATTAAGTGTTTAATTACTTAGACGATTAGATGGACTGTCTATTGCTAGCATTGAATTGCGATATCTTGCTCTATCTTTTCATTCTAAACACAGCTGTTCCGTAGAAACAGGCGTTTATTGCTCAGAAATCCTTACCACCGGCATCATTGACATATGTTTTTTATAATACTTTGGTATTATAGCCTCTGAGTGTTCTCTGCGTGTCTCTGTCCATAACAGTTGCAGTGCCACTCAGAGCTTTAAACCACAAAGATCTGAGGGGCACTGCCCCTGCGCCCGTCACCTTGAGACATTAGTTGGTAAGTCCCGTGTGCCTGTAATTCGAACAGCACCCTTACCCTTCAAAACTACAAAAACGACGTCATTACATAAAGACAAAATCTATTAATTCTGTATTTAGATACATTTACAAGTACTTGCCCTATTTATGTGACATCAAAAAATAAATCCACGCATAGAATAAAAATTTGCTACAAAATAAGGTTTTGAGGTAGTTTATCAGACTTTTATTCGTTTTTATACCGATACAAATCGGTCCAACCCAAATTCAGCATATCATATTTCTGTCTTGGTGAAATAAAATATTCATAGTGTGGTTGACGTTTCACTGCAACAGGCCGATTGGCGTCGATACTATCGCAGGAACAGATTGGCCTATTTTCAAATGCGGTAGGGTCATCGACTTCATGTTACCCCAGTTGTATTTTAAGATACTACTTTCACTACAAATTTACCGAGCCACTAACGGCAACCTTCAGATCGAATATAGAGAAAATCATCGCTCTCGTAACCCACTTTACAACGTTTTCTACGTTCCACCCGAGTCAGAACGGGGTCGTTTCACGCCTTCACCCTACTTACAATAAGGTCTTTTGGTACCATTGAGATTTGATACATAGGTGCGTAGTTCAGCTACATTCATACTTTTACAATTTACATTATTTAAAATACTTTTACATTATTTAAAAAATGTACTGATTTGTATTCTCTTTCATATTATTAACTTTGCCGCAAATTTATAATTATTATATTAATACATAGGGCGCACTGTAAGTTTCCGAAACTGGCCACTTACATAAACAATATTTAAAAAGTAATTACAACATTTGAAAATGGAACTCTTTGGCTGTAGAAAACAGTTTGTTTCATCTGACTGTCATTTGTTTTTACATTGTGGCGTCATTTTAGAAATTGGTTGTCTACATCACAATGGATTTAACTCGTGAAAATTTTCGTAGTATCATTTTCTACGACTTCAAGTGTAATTTAACAGCTCAGCGGTGTTCCGCTTGGCTTCAAACTTTTTCAAGCTTTTGGCGACGAAGCACCATGTAAGACGACTATTTATAGCTGGTTTGCAGAATTCAAACGCTGTCGTGTGAATCTCAGTGACGAACTTTGTGATGGTCGCCCGTCCACTGCTGTGAACAACAACAAAAACATCGATGCTGTGCGCCGTATGATCCAAACAGACAGGCATGTGACATGCCACGAGAATCGGGCATCTTTAGGCATAGGCATAAGTAAAATACAATGAATACTACACAAACATTTGGGTGTGAAAAAGCTGTGCTCTCGGTGGATCCCACACAATTTGACTGAGGCTCATAAAACGGACCGCGTCTCTTGGTGCAATGCCATGCTTACCAGATTCAACGAAGGTGCGTCATATTTGGTGTGGGACATAATAATAGGTGAGGAAACATGGATTTATAGTTACGATCCCAAAACAAAGCAACAATCGAGCGTATGGGTCTTTCAAAATGACGCGCGTGCAAAGTGCCTCTAAGCGGATGATTGCTTCTTTTTTTAATAAAACTGGACACGTGGCTGCTGTTGCTTTTGGAGAATCCTTGTACCGTGAATAGTGATTGGTACACGACCATTTGTTTGCCGGAAGTTATTGACAAACTCCGAAAAAATAACCGTAAACGCCGTATCATCTTGCACCACGATAATGCCAGTTCTCACACTGCTAGACAGACAAATGAATTTTTGAAGGTGAACAACGTTGACTTTATGAGCCATCCCGCGTACAGTCCCGGCCTGGCACCTTGTAACTTTTATTTATTTCCAAAAATTAAAAACCAGTTACGCGGTCTACGATTTTCATCACCTGAAGAGGCTGTCGAAGAGTATGAAAAATATGTTTCAGAGATTGTCACGGAGGAGTGGCATAAATGTTTTCAAAATTGGTTCATTCGTATGAAAAAGTGCATTAAATAATAAATTCATTTCTGATCATTTATAGCATTTTTTTTTTATTCATTCCGGAAACTTATAGTGCGCCTCACGTATTAGACTATAATTCCAGTCTATGCCGCTTACGATGCGGACGTCCAAAGTGTCACTCGTGTCGTGTCACTCAATCTTTATTGCGTCGTCAGCAGATTACGGTGTTCCCCCGGATTCTACTTCCATATATATATATCTAAATCGAATAGGTGTGTGATACACTTTTTTGTCACATCCATGGGATGTATGTCAAAAGCTATTTAATGAGCTACACATGTGCTTGTAATACAAACTGGAACGTAAAAAACGCCTCCATCTTTTGATTCAGATGTCACTTTCGGCTAGCGGTGCCAAACGTTACGTTACGTTTTGCTCTGCGATTCTCAAAACAGGCCGAGCATAAGTGGTCACAATTGCATCGGTCGTTAATTGTATGTTTTTTTAATAAATACACTTCAGTTTTGTGGCTTTACCGCGATTTTCTATCAAAAACACATGGCTAAATTTACATGTTCATTCTTGATTTTGAAGTTTTTAATGGAAAAATGTCACAGCCGTGGAGGTCATTTCTATAGATTCGTCGTTAAAAATATGCCCACGGAAGTGACTTTTGATCCATGGAAGTGATTCTTACATGGAGTGTGTGAGTGTGTGTATGTAAGATAATTTGCGTTTTTGCATTGCTTTTTTCTGCATCCAAATTTCTTTTTAGACGGTGAAAATCAAAAAGTGTACAAAAACAACAGAAGAGTTGAGTAGACATGACTTTTTCAACCCCTATAATTAAGTTTCTTAAGGGACTGCGTATATTTAAATGAAAAATACGCAGTCAAGAAGATCAAAAGTAATTAAATCTATCATCAAAAACATTTAAAAAGAAATTTTCACTTCTTTTATTTTTTTTCAATCAGAAGTAAAAATTACCCAATTATACTTAAGTAACAAAAATCCTCACGGAAATTAGTCAGTGGACATTAACGCGAGAATTACCTACCTATTTATAATCGGCCTTAGTGAACGGTCGCCCGCCGCCCGCGAGCCTTCATTTCAGTTCTTAGGCTTCTATTAGGTCTATTGAAAGCATGTCTCAAATTAATGCGTGCCGTCGTGACGTCGACTGCATGTAATAGAGACTTCAACTGTGTGTAGTCCAGATTTCAACTGCAAGTGTCGGGTGTAGTCAATGTGAACGGTAGTCCGAGAATAAAAATCGACTTCGACGTAACCAAACAAAAAGACGCAAAAAATACCTACTCATGTAGTGATTTATGGCCAAATTAACGTTCTAAGCCTACCCCAAGCAAATAGGTACAAGATCGAATACAATAAACATATCTCATCGACCCGGTGGGTTGCTGCACCATAGCATTACACCAAATGATCAACGGGTCTAGTTACCAAGTCGTCGAAATTCTCCTGTGTTTTTGTTATAGATCTTTGTACGACTTTTCGGCATACGTCGCCGCTAGTGACATCTAGTGAGAGATTTTTTGTATGCCACCGGTTTTGTTACGATTATGAATGCAAAAATCGAACACACGAAAAAATTTCGTCGACCCGGTGGGACTTGAACCCAAGTTCACGTCAGATGGTTAGAGTAATGCTACGGTGCAGCACAGACGGCGTTATTTCATAGAAAATCTCAATAGGAAAATTTGAATGAAGAGCAATCTGCGTCCGATGTGATACCTGTAAAAGTATCGGCTGCGGTGAGAAGGTTATTTAAAAATCTCTCACTAGATGTCACTAGCGGTGATATGTCATAACAAAGCTAGTGGAGTTATCACAAAAAATCTCAATTAATACAATAAACATAAATAAAAATAACTAAGTAATTGGACATAGTTATGCAAACTAGAACCAACCCACAAAATGTCATTTTCGAGATAATTAGACTTTTGTAAAAACAGTGTGAAGAAATAAATAGGTAAATTATTTGAGACAAACAATGTGAGTTGTGTGTAGCATTGAGAATGATATAGGGAAACTATTATATTATATAGCAATAAATAGAAAACATTATGTATATTTTATTTAGTTAACGAGAACCATGTTCTAGTTTTCGTAATTAAAACGCTAAAGATCTACAGAACTTCAGTACATATGACATGGATCCATTTAGCACATTTAAAAAATAAAAATTATATGAAGTTAAGCAGCATGGTTCTTTTTAGCTATTAAAAAATTACTTATTTAGGGTTGGTACCCTGAAGGACTTTTTTTTCCGTTTTGGCTTGGTATATTGTCAGGATATTTTGTGAGCGGGTAAAGGACACGTCTGGTGTTCTACCTAAATATATAACTCAACTTCACTCGAGGTGTGGGTTGGTTCTTGTTTCCATAACTATGTCCAATTAGAAGGTCCATCTTACATTTAACCAAGTTCGCAGTTGCAGTTCTAATCTAACACGAGTCAAGGTCATGGTAAGTCACCTCACTGTAAGGGTATTGCAGGTATTGGCCCCGGATGTTTTATAACTTATTACCGGGTATCTCACAGTGAAAAAAACTTATTTTGCGCAGAGTAATGCCCAACATGACAAATTCGCCCATGCTTTTAACATTGTTAAAATCGGTAAAATGACGTTATGAAACAAAAGCTGCTCAGATAAAAGTAAGCCTAGCAAATGTTCTAACATGCTTCGTCATCGCGTTTTTCGTTATCTTACTTCTCGACTTTCAGAAGAAATATCATATTTTCTCATGAAACTGAATACCAAACACATTTGGATTGAAAGCATTATAATACACTTCCGGACACATAATTCGAGCCACCACGCATTTTCAGCATTAAGTGTCCTAAGCTTAAACAATGTTTGATTGATCAAAAACTATTATGCAATTTTGAAACTAGTATACTAAACGTCTTTTCCGTAAGTCCTTGTTGGAAATTTGGATTTGCAAAACCGGGGAAAACTTTTTCTTCGATGATAATACTATTTTTGTATTCTAGCCCTTTACGACAAAAATGCGAAGTGGCTCAAATTATGTGTCCGGGAGTATATAATGCTTTAATTATATATTTATACATGTTATGTATAAGAACATAATAATATTTACTATCTAGTGCCTCTTCAACACATAACGAGTAACTAGTTTTTAGCTTATGAATTTTTATAAACCCTTTATACATATAAGTATCGAGTTCTTAGGTTTTCGCGATTGTTACACATAGGAAATGAAAGTATTTTTACGGATATAAGTCACGTACCTATTTATTTTTTCAAACAAACCAACAATTCGGGCCCTTTACAGGTCCCATGATCACACCGTCAATAAAGCCAGCCGTGACAACGAATATACGTGATTTAGATCAGAAAAGTTAGTTTCATTTCCCCTCTGTAGTAAGTATTAAACACACAATGCACTATAGTAAAAATATATCTAAAGCGCTATAGACCAAAATGGGACACAAAAACACAAAACATACTTGCACAGCCGTAACACGAGTAGTTTAGGAGCGCACAGAGACTTAGACTTGTATATCGAGAGTTGTAATTAATTAAATATGGACAGTTTATTTTAAACAGCGGAATGTAGGATACAGGTATTAGTTTAAAGGAACGTGTCACGTGGTCACTCGTCGGCGTGTGAAGGCGGTATGTTATTGTTCTAGCAGGAGATGCTAGGCGCCGCCTTCAGGAGTCAAGGTCGAATCGTGACAATTTCACAAGCGGTAGGACGTTTCAAGGCCCCGTAGTATTCCCCACCCCGTTATATAATAATCAATATTAAAACAAAACGCAGCGCAAACACACCCTCTGAGATATTTCTAAAATTATAGGTATTTAAATAAAATATAAATACTAATCTATAGTCCATATGTTTAGGTACTTAAATAAATGTAAACAATCTTGAGATATCTATTTAATGAAATATACATTTATAAAATGATTTTCCCTTACCTTCAAATACAAATACTTAGCTTCATATGAAATTGCATGCCTATTTTTATATCTATTGATTTGTAAAGCATGTGTTTCAATAAAAAGATGTATCAAGATTGTTTACATTTATTTAAGTACCTAAACAAATGGACTATAGTGCGACATTTTTTTAATGCGTTTTTTTAGGCGTTATTCTGTTACCTAACTGAGAGAGAGGGGAGAATACGTCTTGTACAGATGTATGCCTAAGAATGGCACCTTCGATGCCGTTTACTTTCCTGTCTAACAAACTTTAATATTGGCACTGTTCTATAGGTTTGCAAGTATCAATTGTGAAAGGAATAAACAAACATATTATTGCAATATCTATTTTATTGAATATCTAATAAAAGAATAATATATCGCACTTGACAACTAACATAGTATTACATCAAAAATTGCATTGTTTGTATTTTATCTCAAAACTGCGTTATATTAATAATTTATACCCGAATTTTCGCTATATTTCTGACATTTGTATACGATTTGATTGCAAAGTGACAGGACAACACTGTCGCTTTGAAATGAAATAGGTAATAATAATATAACTTAAAGCAAGTTTAAGATAATACTATGTTAGTTATCATGTGCGATCTTTATATCGAAAAAGATTATCACTACTTTTGGCTGTCTATTTTAGATTATCGCCTCTCCCATGGCCTTAAAGATTTTGTATTTTGAAAAGGAAGTGACACACAGAAATCCTACACCCTCAAGTTAGCTGTTAGAGACTGACTGTAACAACCCGTTTACGGACAAAACAATTGGGGTTATTTCAGCGGAGACCCATCTCACATGTGTGTGATTTCGTGGTTTCCTATTATTAATTATATTGTTCAAAACGAGATACAGATAGACATACATTAGTATATTAGCACTTTGCGAAGGAGTACATCCAGGGAAGTACTACCACCTTACCTAATTCTGTAATAAGCAGTGAGGTGAGCATTACTGCGTTCCGGCTTTGATGGGTAACGGTGATGGTGAGAAATTACAGGCACATGAGACTTGTCAACTTATGTCTCAGGGTAACGGGCAAAGCGGCAGTGCCCCTCAGATCTTCGCAATTTAAAGCTCTTAGTGACAATGCAACTGCTATGGGCTGCTATTTTTGTAGAAATATTAAATTCGGTAGACCAACCTACTTGTAAAATAGGTAACAGTGTGGCGATGCTGACGTCCCTTCCTGCTTCGTCATCCCACCTTTTTATCACCGTCTTTTCCCACCTTTTTATAACACTTAAAAAAATACTATTTTTACGTTAGTCCGTTCCGTGGTCAGAATCTATCAAAACTTTCAAAACGAGCGGACGTGTCCATAAATCATCACCCTTATTTATTACAACACTTATTGGGTACGAGTTTAAATACTTCATTTCGTTTACTACTAAATTAATTAAATAGGTACCTATACAATATAGACCCATAAATTAAGTGGATCGCTTACTGCATTATCATTTCGTTAAGGCTAGGCTACAACAGTTATGTTACAACAACAAAGAAAGTTAGTAAACACGGCTACTTCACGTCATCCATTCCAATTATTTGACCTTATTGTAAGGGATTATAATTATTATTAACATCCCGATTGTTTTAAAATTGCTATAGAAGCAAACTTATTCAAGATGTCAAAAACGTGATGAAAGTTCTTAGCAACTCGCAGAACCAACCATTTCGATGCAATTATGTACTGTTTTTTAGAATGTTAAGTATATTTACTGTAATTGCTATTTCATATGCAAAACAATGGAAGGACAGTACAGTAAGAGTCGTATATTACTAGCACGTTCATGAATATTTTGACCTCGTTCGATCATATTATGCGCTTTTAAGAAAAAACAAGTCTCAAATTTTGAAATGGCGAAATGTAAAAAAGAAGACATTACGTAATCTGAAAAATAAAATTCGAGCTTCATCCTTTGTTTTAAAACACACGTGTATCGTGACCTTAATAGGCATTCAATTTTCAATGTCGATCCGCCTAAGCTCCAAATTCCCCACAGGAACAGTAATTATAGATTCAGTGGTTTAAATATCGGTTCATACCATGAATATCAAATCTAGACCAATAAGAATAATAAGGCTTCTAGAATATTTAAGTAATAAAGGTTGCCACCCAAATTAGGTAGAAAAGACTAAACTAAAAATTACCCAATTGTGCTAACTGGTTATTCCAATATCGTAATATAGAACACAGCTAGGCCAGGCCGCTAAAGAAATATAACGACCCACTAAGATGACAACGAACCAAGTACTTTGTAATAACCTGGACTCGTGACACGTATGCTGATTTCTATAGTGTAATTTTCACAACAAAAAAATTGAGACAAAGAAATCATTAAATCGTGAGTAAAGGCAACACCGGGAACTTACTGAACTATGATAATTATGGCGTTTTAATACGAGGATTACGAAAAAAAAAAGAGTTAAGAATTAATTAGTCAAAGTTCATCTGTTCACTTTACGCCCTTTTCGTACAGGGGTAGATAGAGACCAATTCGTCGGAACAATTATTTTTTATTATGACTAAGTTTGCAGCATATGAGACAAACTTTTACCGTCAAGAATTAGCTGCATTTCTCTCGTTCCAAATCCGTTTAAAAACTCCCCGCAATTAGTTTTAAAGCACATGAGACATTTGTATCTTTAGATTATCTCTAAGAGTGAAAATAGGTACGACACTTGAACACAAACCATGCATAATGCAAGCGACATAATTCGGGACATTATTTATATAGGTTTTGAAAAAACAAGCTTCAAAAATTTTCGAATCTCGTGATTAAAACTTACTTTAGTGGTAACATTGTAGGCATGTGGTTTGCTTTATGCACTTTGAAAGTACGACGCTGCAATATCGGCAGAAGGAAGGAACGCGCTCTGTACACCCACGCCCAGTCCACGACCACTCAACTTCAAGCAAACTTGTCGCACCCCCGCTCTACCTACCGAAAAGCTAAATGCGGGGCGGCTGCGCGCGCAATCGACATTGGATTTCCGCAGTGCAATAATCTCTAAATCTCTCTTACGATTTACCCAGGTTTTACAATTTATTATAATTTCAATCCATCAGAATTGACGCCGAGTTGAGCTCTGAATGATGAGAATATTCTTTATTTTTAAAGCTTTGGCGCCCACGCGCCAGTGCTGAGCAACGAAACGCCGCCATAACCACGAATGAAATACATCAATATTTTAACTCCACAGACTAAACTAAACATAGAATCGTGTTTTTTTTAATGGGACAGTATGAGGAAATACCTTAAACTCTTTATTTTTTTCCATCCTCTAGGGGAAATACGAATCCATAGAAGATACAAGGAAACAGTCTTAGGAACCATTAAGTCTTTTCTTGTGAAAACTATTTTGACATATTCAATTTTCTGGTCAAGCGTTATTCGTATTTTTTTAGTGCTGATCGCATTGACTTACTGATCGAGTCAGTTTCATGTAAGGATCATTTCATTGTACCTATGCGACGAAAAAAATCGGGACAGCAGAAGTTGGTCAATTTAATGTTGTTCATTTTTAATAAATTTGACTAGCTTCTTCTGCTGTCACAATTTTTTTTCTTACAATGCAATAAAATGATCCTTACATAAAACTAAGTCCAACGGCATTGAAAAAGAAAATAGTCAATTTTATTCATTTTGTATCAAACGGGCGTTTCTACAATTTAGCAATAATTGCGCAAAATGTTTACAAAGTAGAAAATTAAATTATTATTGATTTTTGAAAATAGTATAGGACTGAGGATGTACCCTTACACAAGAAAAATTAAAGGCACGGATATAAAATCAATATTGAAGGCGATATTTGGTTTTTTAAAATATGTCTAGCTACGGTAATAAGGAATGGACATGGAAATGATTTTTTACTACAAGGTAGTGAAATATAAGGCTACTGTAATGATATGCATGCATATAAAAAAAGAATTTTTATTATTTTGTCATTACTCATAATGATAAATAGAAAACTTAAACCTAACTTAAAATTTAAAGTGAAACTTAACATTGCAGCAAAAGTTTAACAAAAGTATCACCTCCAAAGTACAACCAAATCTTCATCAGAAGCTCTAGGTGCTAATTATTATTAATTGGGTCGCTGGCAATCAGTCCCCATTTTTCTAAGACATTAAATGTAATGTAAATGTGCGTGCGCGTATTCATGTACGTTTGTGTATACGTGTATGTATAATGTGTAAATTCTATTACTAGTAACAATATAATAATTAATATTTTCTTATAGCTATTTTTTAGTAACCAACCTTGTAGTATTAATTAAATCAACAAAACAAAATAAATATTTTCTAAAACCCAAAATTATAATAAAAAAAGTGGAAGAAATAGCATACTTAAGTTACATATTTTTTTAAAGTTATTCTGATTCAGTACTATTCAAACACTATTTTTAATAATCTATTTCTTTTTCTTTCCATTTTCTTTTTACCCTTCCCTTTTCCTTTTATGTTACCTTTATTAGTATCGTCATGGTTTTAGTTTTCTTCTTTCGGTTAGTTTAGCTTCAACTTCTTAGTACTCTAATGAAGGAATTTATACCAACATTTCAAAATTACTGTCTCTTTTTTAGTGTTAAACTGCATTCCGATCTTTCTTCTATAATTTTTTCCAGCTATTTGATTTTCAGTCTTTCTTGTTACTTATTTATTATTTTTGGTATTTATAGAAAGTCTTCAACTTATTATTCTCTTTTTCTACATCTCTTGTAACATTTTTCAGTAGTTTTACCTTTTTGTCTCGTTGGTATCTCAGTCGTTTTATCTTTTGCTCTCAATTGAAACAATTTCTCAGAATATTCATACTCGTATTATAGTCACTTTTTTTGCAATGAGGAAGACAGATCTGATGCAAGTGGATATAAACCTTGTTCTTCTAGTTGCTTTTGTTTGCTACCTTCTGAGTTCAAAAGTTCAATCTCTTTGACTTTTTTGTTTGTTCATATTTCTTACTATTTATCCTCCATCTCTTCCGTCTTTCTATACCTCGTACACAGAGTGTAGGTGGTGTCAATTCATCTCTACTATTGATTTGCCTTTCCCTTTAAGTATCGCATTATTTTCTATTTGTTTTTCAGTGGCATATAATTAATTCTTCATTTTGTTTAAGCACGACATAGCGTTCGCGCTTGGTTAATCTTCTTTGCGCCAATATATCTTGTTTTGATTGGGCATGCCATGACACCTTCAATATATATTTAAGGAAGTAGAAAATTGTGGAAAATATTATTATAGTCAACATTCATTTAATTACCGAACCTTTTGATTCATTACCGTAATCCAAAAAAGGTTACGGTAAACGACGGTAATGAAGGTCACGGAAGTGAGAAATGTATAATTATTGTAGAATAACTCAACTTGTATTTAACACTTAGGTCTACCATCCAGTCTATTTAATTAACAGAAATATATGTTAATCTTTTGCTTTTATAAATAATTAGATATTGCGAATACGTACCAAATTATACACAATCCTGTAATGAGACTTGGACTGGTTGAAACACCTGTTTAATGACTTCGATTTCAATTTTCAGCGAGAAAACCAACGTGAGGTCTATTTCGAAGAATCTTAGCGACACACTAAAGTTCACAGAAGCGTTAGCGATGATTGGCAGCAGGACTAAAGGCGTTTGTCGCTCACATGAAAGTTGCAAATTCACGTTCTGGTAATTACTTTTTCACAGTTTCAAAAGTTAAATGTAGACTTTTATTGCCAAAATTTAAATTTTATGAAAAATCAATCCAATATTTAGTTACTAAATACTATTTGGCGTTCTACAGGTAACTTTCTTTTTAATATCACAATTTTGTAAACAGTAGAGAGTAGAACAGGCTCCGGTAATGAATTCTTAATAAGTTTTTTAAAGATATTTTTTTTGTTCTCGTGAAAACATGAAATAAGTTGTTGCAATACTCAGAACAAGTAGATGGTTATAAGTTAAAATTATTAAGTTGAGTTAATAGTCTATTTTAAATTTTCATTTCATTGAAACAACGTCCATATTTGTCTTTGTATATTCACCCAAAAACATTTGATTAAATTTGACAAACTTCTGCTGTCCCGATTTTTTTCGTCCTATACAATGAAATGATAGTTACATGAAACTAAGTTGATCAATGCTAAAAAATTTTGGTACATTTTATTAATTTTTATGGACAACTCACACTTGATCAAAAAATGTACTATGCCAAAATTGCTTTCACAAGAAAAATCTTAGGATGGTTGCCAAGACAGTTTCTTTGTATCTCCTATGGTTTCGGATTTACCAGTGTTTACTGGTATGTTGTTTGCATAGCAACGACGGCACTTATTTTTGTCACTTACACAGTTGGGTAGAATTTTATTCTTATGAATAATGAGTAAGTATACTTACAGGAGTACCCATTTATGACGGTAGAGTTACAGCAGTCAATTGCATAATTCAGTATTGTGTCCGTAAATGGCATCTAGCAATATTTCAAGGACGACTGTGGCCCAACACTGTGGGCACTGGATGACGAGGTCCCGGGTTCGATTCCCGGAAGAACCAATTTGGGAAAAGATATCTAAATTGGTTATAGTCTGGGTGTTCTGCGAAGTACACCAGAGCGAATTCCGTTGCTTTGGGACTTGTAGTACAGTGAATTCATATTATGAGACCAGGCAATTGGTGTGGTTGTAAAAAAAGTGTTTCTGTATGAGAAACCAGTTTATCAATGAGCAACTTTGAAATTACTCAAGCACCATCTATAACCACCAGCGAAAAACAGAAATAACGAAAACGATCCAACTCTATAAACAGCTGTTTTGTTCAACTGTAGGGGCGTTATCCTTTATTGGTAGGTCAATACGTAGGGGAGGTATTTGTCAGTGTGTCTGTCGGGTATTGTCGTAGCTCCCAAAAATGATTACACGAATGCACACGAATGCCAAACGTTAATTTAATTATTGCTTGTTTACATAGTTTAAATCTCTGTAAATTCATATCGATTGCAACTTATAATTCGGCATAGAGTTTAAAAATACATTTTAACATCGAAACTTCAAATCAAATAAAACAAATAAAAATTAAACGTGTAGAGATGGTGAACGAAAGAAGACTGAAGAAACAGATTTTATAAGGCGAACGTGAGCGGGCAAGTTGGTAAAGGCCGGCCGAGGCGAACTTACCATGGCTACCAAATTGTGACCTCAAGGAAGACTTGGTCAAGAGTAATAGTAACCGACAAGCCTATGTGAAAGCATTGATGTGTGTCGAAGAGGCGAGCGTGAGCGGGCGAGTTGATAAAGGCCGACTGAGGCGGCCTTACTATGGCCACTATATTGAGTCCTAAAGGAAGACCGGGTCAAGAGTCACAGTAACCGACAAGCCTATGTGAAAACATTTACGTGTGTTGATGAGGCGCAAGATCGCAGCCTACTGCGTGAAGTGTAAATATGTACAGTCATTAGTGCATCCTAGTGCAGCAATGGGTCACACAAGGGATTTGCAAAAAAACCTAAATTAGAAAAATCATCGTATTCGTCTGTTCTAATAAGGTATGTAATGGAAGATATAACAACAAAAAGCATAATTTCAAACTTTCAGTTTTGCTAACATTCGATAATAATGATTAGGTGACATAATGAATAAATGGTATTTAAGTACCTACTATGTATATTGTATTAAAGAATAGATTTAGTATAGTATTAAATAGTATAATACAATATTTCGTTTTATGAATAGTTGAAGCGCCCTATATTATGTTGATAACATTTTTTTTTCGTTTCATTAAATGTACAATCGCAAAATATAATTGTTTTTATATGGTTTTAAGTGCTTTTTGTGTTATAAAATATATTTATTAAAACTTTAAGCAGATTATTTAATTGCATATACTAACCTAACCTAAACCCACAGAAGAAGGAGAACCAACTAGCAAATACAAACAAATTCGGTTCATTCACCATTGCACCTAAACGCCAGTGGAATTATATTATATTATATATTACATAATATATTCAGTGAATGTTATATCTGAAATGTTTATATGAAATGAGTATATTAGATTAAAAGTTGTTATATCTATCGTCTATTATACCCAGTGACCTTTATACTTAGACTATGCAAACTAATTTTTTTCCCGTCCTCTAAGCCTTTATATCATGCAAGAATATGTCAAATGTTTGTATACCATAAATTAATTATATTTGTTGAGTTAAAAAATTAGTTTCCATAGTCTAAGGTTATATTGACTGAAAATATGTTATTTGTTGTTATATATTGCGAACTGTGAAACAAATACGTACTCTACAAAGTTAGTTATGTTTTACCACATTACTAAAAAGGCTGAAAAATGAACATGCCAACTATATAAAGCAAACAATTATACATTTAATTATTTTCCTCCACCTTCTGCGATGCAAGTGGTCATAGAAGTTATTTTTTAGATACTGTGAACAGGTCATATGTGTTATTCTCGACAGTACTTTTTAATATAAACGGTTAGCTGGTAGATGGTAGATGGTAGATTAATTCCGACATCATCGAAAAATAAGGCAGCTGATGAAGTTACTGCAAAAGTAGTTTAGTTATTTTCATAGCGTTATGGCCTATGGCATATTGTTGTAAGGAAGAGCGGCAGACATTCAAACAATATTTGTGCTACAAAAAATTTATAAATTAGACCTCCGTGATACTTTAAGGGAACGATTTAAAAAATCAAATATTTTAACGCTGCGAAGTTATTTATATTTGAAAATATAATGTATGCTTGCTGAAATGTAGCATTATTTCCGAAAAACAATGATAGGCATAACCTTATGCGACCCCTATGCTCAGACTTGATAAAGTTAGCTCGTCATTTCGTCGGCTTAATGCTAGAAGTCATTAATTGCCATATAATTTATATGGCAATTAATTGCCATATAATTTAAATGGCAATTAATGACCTCTTGCAATAAGCTGACGATTTGTGGGACACTGTATACGTTTTTATAACAAAATTCCATAAATTGTACAGTAAGCTCATGTACTAATTAAAAAAGCGTATTAAAAAAACAAATTATTACATAGACTATGTGGTCTGTGACAAAGACGATACGAACGCGTGGTGTACTTCCAGTTATTAAATATTTGTGATGATACAAATATCCTTCTCAGGTGAAATTGACCTGCTAAGGAGCTGCTTGTTTACTGTGACGATTTCAAGTGTACTAATTTGATTACCTACAAAATAAAGATACTTGATTTGATTTTATTTGTTGGGTAAGGATAAGTGGAAATGAAACTCCACTCATCTCAACCAGTGAGGATGTGGTAGGGAAGGTTGTCCCCACCAGGGGGGACAGCTGGTAGCAACTAGTGGGCCAGGCGGACGTGTGGAATAGAGTTGAATTGAAATCTTTGTTGCAAGTGCTATTGATTCTGCATTTCGATCTTGACGAAGTGGAACATAAGATAATACATGTCACATGTAGGTAACGTAGTGCCTTTATTTAAAATCAACATACATTATCAAATTAAAGCACAAAAAGTAGCGATATAAAAAATAAAAACGGAAACCCACTTGAACAAAATTACAAAAAAACTATTAAAATACTTTTAAATAAAAAAAAGTTTCTCCATTGTCGATTCAAAAGTGCCATTTGTTATTGAAATTTCGTAATTAGTTGTAATCCATAGGCTCGTGATCGATTGATAAATAACTATTGTAAGTGCTATTTGAGGGATTTCGAGACTTCAAATTTTGTTTCGAATTCACTTTAGCAATTTGCTGTATACTAGTGTTTGTAACGGATTGTTCTTCACCATGTCGCTCCGGGTCCGTTTCTTCGAATGCGACGTCCTCAACTGTTTTCCTTTGCGAGCTTTTTGTAGCCCTTAATGTGGTACTAGTTTCGTTGTGTTTGTGCTCGATGACGCATTGACAACTTCTATTGGATATTCTTTTTACGTTTAGCAGTAACTTTGATCGTCCACTTATCTTTTTAATTCCCGACAGTTTTCGTCTGTGTAAAGACGGCTTTTCAATAGAGTTTTTGCTTTTGTTGACTGGAGAATTTGCAGCGTCGCCCTCTTTGTCTAGCTGTACTAGTTTCCTTGAAGGGCATCGACGTTTCATATTCAGTCTTTGCAATTCCCTCAAAGCAACAAGTTTTGCGCAGGCGCTGCAATTTGAATGAAAATCGCTGCATACGTCTTTCAAGCTGATTGTTGTTATCTGTGAACAAATCATATTGCATGACACAAAAACGCAACGGGTGTAATGTAGGTAAGTATAGGTACTATATGCTCGCAGTACGTACATACCTACTCTACCTCATGTGTACGGAAAAACTCCATTTTACTAATTGTGTGATTAATGAAAGAATGTATAAATATAATTTGGCGTGAAGTTTTGTGCAAATACGTACTGTAGTAATTGATTTTCTTTTCTTCAATTCATCAATGAGTTTAGGGAAAGTTTTGTTATGTCGACGGACTCTTCTCACTGCATCGCCGTCACGCTCGTTGTGGATATCGTAATTTTTAAAGTGGTCATCGCGAAACTGATCGGCGCCATTGTATCTTTTCTGAATTTATGTAATAAATAAGGAAACTGTAGTTACAATGGGCATGCCCAGTCAAATTAATACAATATCTACTTTAAATACTTAAAAGCTTTATCACACTGGCGGATTGCGAGCGATTTGAAAGCTAGGCGACACGAATCACAAATCCCCAGAGTGATAAGGCTCTAAATGTTCAAACTAAGCAAAATGCGAAGATACTTTCGTACCTGAACTTTTTTGTATTTGATCCTGGGCTGAGGACCATTGTCAGCCATGATATGCACGCTATTTACAAAATTTTCACGATAATTGAACAACGTCAATCATACCAGTATTTTTTGTCTGTAAATATCATGAGAACAATTTGAAAATAATCTCAGTACAGAAAAGTTCTTGGAATTACGTCTAGTTGCCAAGTTTTATTGAAATCGGTTACCGGAAAGTGCTTAGAGGTGTAATATTTTCTTAAAATTTAAATGAGGCCAGTACTGAGAAACTCTTTTTTTCCAACAAAAAGCTGGAGTTATCGCGTAACGTACACACAAAAAAAAATGAGAACCTCCTCTTTTTTTGAAATCGGTTAAAAATTCACTGCGGTAGCAGTAGTTGTGGCTTCTGTAAACATATTTAGAAGCAGGACCAATAAATACTACTTACATAGCTTTTATTAAATACATATTTTAAAAACGTATACAACAGTCCGAACTTTTGATATTGTAAAGTAAAAGTCAGTGTTCCCTAGTGAAGACTTGTGTAGTAAACCTAAAACATCGGCTTTTAAGAATTTTTATGTTTATCTGTGCGTTTGTGCACGCTAATCCCTATAACAGTTTACCCAATTTGGATGTAGTTTTTGGTGTTAAGATGAGCTTGAATTAAATTTAGTGTTTGCTTCTTTGAAATCGGTTAGCGAATATGTCAATTTTAAACGTTCACAAGTTGGAGCGAAGTTCATCCACTGACCAAATAATTAGACATGCGTGAAAATAGCGTGCTACTAAAAAATCAGCAACATAATAAACTCGATTTTATTATTAGTAGGTTTTATAGTAAGAGTGGCACATGTTAGCGCGTATGACATCTTGCGCACAGCTAGATTACACTGAACTGACCATTAACCCATTTATATATCACATTGTTGGGCATGGGTCTCCTCTCAGGTCGGCTATATTGCGCCACACACTCTGGCCAAATACGGGTCGGGGACTTCACATGTTTTCCGAAGGTGGTGAACCTTCTTCGACGTGCAGGTTTCATCATGATGTTTTCTTTCGTGGAACAGTTCATGGTAAATTTCAAACAAAAAAGTCAGATACTGGTCCAAATTCGATACCACGACCGCTGCTTGAGAGGCGGTACGTCAAACCAACTAGGCTACCGCGGTTTCTTTTAGCCTAGATTACAATAAATTTTAGGCTAGATTACAATAAACCTTTATATCACATTTAAACTCAACCAATCTTTTAAAAATTCCTATTCGTTGTTAGTACGGACAACGGCACATCGGACTACACATTTTTGTTCGAAAATCGCCTCCAGTGCAACGGAACAAGACACGTCAATGTGTAGTAGCTTGATGTGCTGGCGTATGTACAATATGTACTGAGAAAGTACTGTAATATATATAAAAATTTTATACTTAATTACAATCTTAGATCATAATACAAACCTCTTATTGCTTTTACAATGTCAATATGTATGTATGTGTAGCCCCCATTTCTTATGCTCGAAAACTTTATATAAAAATAATTCTTCTTTTTGCTTATTAGCGATGTCTTTTTTAGGATTTGGTCAGTGACAGTTTTGTAAAACTAAGATACAAAAAATTACTAGGAATTTTCATCCTTTGCTGTACAGATTTTTAAGGTTTTGAAAATTATATATTTTTGACAGAGAAATTTCAAAAATCTTTTTATTTTCTTTGAGCGCTGACGTTACACGCAAAGAGAATATTCTACATGGGTACATTGCGCAAAACACGGTTATCATATAAAATTAAATAATCTTCATAACAATCTTACGTTCTTTTAATGTACTATGGGGACATAATCGGCCGTCCTTAACATAAATGTAATCGACATTTTTAGCAAAATTAAGTTATTAACATATGGAATCACCGAAATGAGATCTACAACCCATATAAACGGTTTTTTATACCTTACTGGATAGAGCTCCTCCCGTTTTATCAATAAATTCGGAAACTGATTTTGATATTGTAACAAATGTCTAATCAAATATATGTGTAGTCCACTTACAAACAGCGCTATGTGACATTTTTAAATATTTTTAGTTAATGGCGTGAAATGGATCAGTATTTTAATTATAAAAGTAATTTTAAATACTTCAACAATACATTGCCAAAACTGGTATATTCTGAACAGTGTTAAACATTGACTAGTTATGAAAGTCGCTTCTCTCTTAATTTTACACTTTCAAAAGTTCCCATTTTGTCGTCAAACTTGCAAACGCTGCTTTATCGAGTATAAACTCGTGCAAAATCCGTTATTTTGTTTGGTATTTATTATGTTGTCAACCGAGAAGTCCCTCGTGTATGCTTTTTTACCACAATTTTCAGATAATTAGAAAAGTACCATTTAAAAATCCGTTTTTGTTACAATAATTAAAATAAAAAATAATACTATAATATAACAAATAATCAAAATACAAAGTAAACTCTCAATGTCATACCGGCCAGTGTGTAAAAGATTGCACATCCATGCTCTGACATTCCTCCTAGATTATTTACACCTGGCTTTCCTTACTATCAATAAAACCTTGTCAATCATGAACACTCAGTACACACCCATTTCTCTACAGCAAAAATAATTGCTAATACTTCTAATGCTTCTCTAATAAAATGATAGCGAACATCAACATATTTTGTCTGCTGAGGTTGCACCGGATTTAAGGCTATTGTCAAAGCAGATTGACTATCTATGCATCGTGATAGGCATTCCTCCTTCCTAGTGATTTCATTCAGAAATCGCTGTAGAAATATGGCTTCTTTTATTGCTTCTGATAAGTTGATGTCTCAACTTCGGCTGTCTATAAGGCTGTATCTTCTTAGTGCTCATCTTTGCTTAGTGGTGTGCCAAGAGATGGCTCCATTTGCCATCTTAAACACATTTCTGGAGTATGACCTTCTGTCCACTATATTTCCATCGTAATCAGCATCTGCAAAACCTTGATATTTCTACAAGTCTTTAGTGTATACAAGTCCCATGCTCTTGGTACCCTTTAAGTATCTCAATACCCTTTTAGCTGCGATCCAGTGCACTTCATCATAACAATTGCAGAACTGACTCATGAAGTTTACTGCATGTGCTATATCTGGCCCTGAACATACAGCTATATATATCAATGAGCCTACAAGCTCTATGTACGCAAGGTTTTATTTGTACACTCTTTCTCTTCTTCAAATCGTTGTCTCGGAGCTACTGGTGTACTAACTGCCTGCAGTTTTCCATCTTAAACCTGTGAAGAAGCTTTTCAATGTAACCCTCTTGCTTGATTTTAATGCAAACGTTTCTTTGGATCGCTATCCCATAAAATAGTTCAGTCTTTCCTAGATCCTTCATTTCCAATTTTGTTTTTAATTCTTCCTTAACATCCGTGACAATCTCTGAAACATATTTTTCATACTCTTCGACAGCCTCATCAGGTGATGAAAATCGTAGACCGCGTAACTGATTTTTAATTTTTGGAAATAAATAAAAGTTACAAAGTGCCAGGCCGGGACTGTACGCGGGATGGCTCATAAAGTCAACGTTGTTCACCTTCAAAAATTCATTTGTCTGTCTAGCAGTGTGAGAACTGGCATTATCGTGGTGCAAGATGATACGGCGTTTACGGTTATTTTTTCGGAGTTTGTCAATAACTTCCGTCAAACAAATGTAACCAATCACTATTCACGGTACAATGATTCTCCAAAGCAACAGTAGCCACGTGTCCAGTTTTATTTAAAAAAGAAGCAATCATCCGCTTAGAGGCACTTTGCACGCGCGCCACTTTGGTTGGTTTCGGCTCATCTCGAAAGACTCACACGCTCGATTGCTGCTTTGTTTTGGGATCGTAACTATAAATCTATGTTTCGTCACCTGTTACTATGTCCCACACCAAATTTGACGCCCTTTCGTTGAATCTGGTAAGCATGGCATTGCACCAATTGACGCGATCCGTTTTTTGAGCCTCAGTCAAATTGTGTGGGATCCATCGAAAGCACAGCTTTTTCACACCCAAATGTTAATGTGTAGTATTGATTGTATTTTACTCATGGCTATGCCTAAAGATGCCCGAAATTCGTCACTGTGACTTACACGACCGCGTTTGAATTCTGCAAACCAGCTATAAATAGTCGTCTTGCATGGTGCTTCATCGCCAAAAGCAGTTTGAAGCCAAGCGAAGCTCCGTTGAGCTGATAACTTACACTTAAAGTCGTAGAAAATCATACTATGAAAATTTTCACGAGTTAAATCCACGGTGATGTAGACAAACAATTTCTAAAATGACGCCACAATGTAAAAACAAGTGACAGTCAGATGAAATAAACTGTATTCTACAGCCAAAGAGTTCCATTTTCAAATGTTGTAATTACTTTATAAAAATTGTTTATGAAAGTGGCCAGTTCCGGAAACTTATAGTGCGCCCTATGTAACGATTCGTGATAATATTATCATTCCTTATCCATTCATCTGCATGGTTCTTTTCTTGAACAGAAGTCAGTGCCGTTGCCATGTGACTTGTCTTGGATTGACGTGGATTCTGTGGGTATTTGTAAGTTTTTTGTGGTCCCTCACATATGAAACACTCAGGTTTTCTAACCTTTTACACTGTAGTAAGTGCCGAACTCTGCCCTGGAGTGCTTGGACTTGCGCAAACTTTGCTCTCATGTAGTTGAAACAATTTTGTTTTTATATAATCAGTGGTTAATGCTATGCTTAGAATAATAACGCATAGAAACCTAGCCCGCACACGCTAAGTGAGGCAAGTTAGCGGGTTCCAAACGCGTCCCAGGAGCGCGCGGGCTGTTAGTGCTCAAGGTCATATTGCACCGCGAACAGCTCCAAAATTTTTTGCTAAAAATGACGAAATGTGCGGTAAATGGGTGTAAAAATACAACAGACAAACATAAAATAGACACTAACATCGCATTCCACAAGTAAGTAATGCGTTTCAACTCATATTTTTATGTAAATATTCACTAAAACAGAAAAATAATTTCGCGGCAACAAGATACGAAAGTGTTGCAAAGTAACGAATTTTTTTTCTCCCCATTTTGCTATTCTGTATCAAAATAATTATATTACGTAAATTTTAGTGGTGCCTGTAATTTAGATTTATTTGCGCATCTTGAACTAATATTTACTTTAATAAACATTAAATGTTTTCGTTAACTCCTGTGATTGGGACACTTAATTATTTTATAATACTTTTAACGGCTCTGCGTTCATGCTTTATTGAATAATTATTTATTTTAATTTTATTTGAATTGGAGCACATATTGCAACAAATTTACAGTACTTATATATTTGTTTCTACTATAGTGTTGGCACCACCAGTACAACTTTGATAGCTTATTATATGTCTTTCTTTTCGTAACTCAAGCGAAATATTTTATATTAAAATATTTTATTTTCTTAAAAGGGGAGCATTCTTAAGCGATTTTTTAATCTATTTTAACAGTTATTTTCTTTAATGTTTGCTTATGGCATTTTCGGTTTTAGGTTTCGAATATGGCACTTATTTCTAAATCCAAGATGCGGGCGCGATTTTTCGAATAATGGCAAGTTGGGTATCGTTTTCGAGATGTTTGGGAATGTTCAATACAAATATGGCACTCATTTCTAAATCCAAGATGGCAAACACGACAGTTCAAACAAAAGCAATATTCGTAACGAGCACCCCCAAATACCTCGAAAACGATACCCAACTTGCCATTATTTGAAAAATCGTGCCCGCCATCTTGGATTTACAAATAGTGCCATATTCACATTGAGCATCCCCAAATACCTCGAAAATGATACCCACATAGCATTTTTTTGAAAAAATCGTGCCCGCCATCTTGGATTTAGAAATGAGTGCCACATTCGTAATGAGCACCCCCAAGTACCTCGAAAATGATACCCATATTGCATTTATTTTAAAACTCGTGTCCGCCATCTTGGATTTAGAAATGAGTGCCATATTCGTAATGAGCATCCCCAAATACCTCGAAAAGGATACCCATATAGCATATTTTGAAAAATCGTGTCCGCCATCTTGGATTTACAAATAAGTGCTATATTCGTTTTTCATCGACAAAACCGAGCACATCTGTAGGCACCTGATCGACAATGTCGGGCAAATCTGTAGGCACCTTTAACTTAATGATGAGTTAAGCAAGATACAATTTCCCCACTTTTGAGGGAAATGTTATTCCATGGCATCATTATTTGTATATTTGTGTGCGTGCCGACGAGCGTAGTCACAAGTTGCTTACGCCTACATGAATTTGGTTTTTGCCTCACTTGTGACAGTTCGTTCGATAAGAAACTATCATTCTATGCGTTATTATTCTAAGATGCTATGTTGGTATTCTCTAATGCCAACCTCATAGTCATATACTACTCGGTTATCGAATTGAACATATTAAGCTTTGGACCTACCAGTCTCGATAGCAGCCTTCATCTGTTGTTAATGCCTTTGTCCTCATAAGCTGCTTTCAGACTCTTCCACGTCGCATACATCGTTGTTGCTTTGTATCTCACAAGGGTTTTC